AAGACGGCCGTGTAACCATTGTCAGTGTCCCCGGACCCAGAGAAAGACGGCCGTGTAACCATCGTCAGTGTCCCCGGACCCAGAGGAAGACGGCCGTGTAACCATTGTCAGTGTCCCCGGACCCAGAGAAAGACGGCCGTGTAACCATTGTCAGTGTCCCCGGACCCAGAGAAAGACGGCCGTGTAACCATTGTCAGTGTCCCCGGACCCAGAGAAAGACGGCGTGTAACCATTGTCAGTGTCCCCGGACCCAGAGAAAGACGGCGTGTAACCATTGTCAGTGTCCCCGGACCCAGAGGAAGACGGCCGGGTGGGATTATGACATCATTATGATGTCAGGGGCACTGGGAAGACTCTACTAATGGATGACTTCCATCTATTGGTGGACGGCTTCCATCTATTGGTGGACGGCTTCCATCTATTGGTGGACAGCTTCCATCTATTGGTGGACGGCTTCCATCTGTTGGTGGATGACTCCTATCTATTGGAAGATGACTCCTATCTATTGGAAGATGACTCCTATCTATTGGAAGATCGGCTTCCATCTATTGGTGGACGACTTCCATCTATTGGTGGATAACTCCTATCTGTTGGTGGATGACTCCTATCTATTGGTGGATGATTTCTATCTATTGGTGGATGACTTCTATCTATTGGTGGATGGCTTCCATCTGTTGGTGGATAACTCCTATCTGTTGGTGGATGACTCCTCTCTATTGGTGGATGACTCCTCTCTATTGGTGGATGACTCCTCTCTATTGGTGGATGATTTCTATCTATTGGTGGATGACTTCTATCTATTGGTGGATGATTTCTATCTATTGGTGGACGACTTCCATCTGTTGGTGGATAACTCCTATCTGTTGGTGGATGATTTCTATCTATTGGTGGATGATTTCTATCTATTGGTGGATGACTTCTATCTATTGGTGGATTAATTCTATCTATTGGTGGATGACTTCCATCTATTGGTGGATGACTTCCATCTATTGGTGGATGTCTTCTGTCTATCCATCTATCTGATGAAGGGTTCCTGTGTGACCCAGAAACGTTCCTCATCTATACGATATAAAAGCTTTGCACTGGAAGACAAGCCTGGGGTTGTGCTGATGACATTTAAGCTGGAATCACACATTTTGCTCTGGTTATAACACGCAACTAAAGCCGTGTTTCCGCAACGCATGGCCATGAGCTGCACACATGGCCATGCACACGTGGACATTGTTAACGGCACCCAGTGCACATACAGAGTGATAACAACCGAACCGGCACTATTCTACACCACATCACATGTACAGTATGTGTATGCTTTGCGTGTTGTGGTGCCAAATGGCAAAAACAGAGCATTAGGGGCCCATTCACGGTGCAAGGAAAGTCATAGCTCAATGCATGCTCAGGTGTCAATGTGAGTTCTCAATGACTTCCAGCGGTGTAAAGGGATAGACCAGGGCTAGGCGACCTCGGCACTCCAGCTAAACTACAAGAGACATTGCAGTTTCAGCATAGCTGGAGTGCTGATGTTGCCTACCCCTGCAATATGACCTTCCATCCCAGCCTTGGTACTCCAGTTGTGCTTAAACTGCCAATCCCATCATGCCTCTGCTTCTGGGAGTCATGCCTGTGGCAGTCAGAGTCTAGCAATGCCTCATGGGACTTGTAGTTCAACCACAGCTGGAGTGCTGAGGTTGCTTACACCTGGGCTATTGAGTAAGGCCTAGGCCCTTTGTTTGACTCATTACTGCCCCTGATGGGTGGCATATAATGCACCCCCCCCTCTAAAATAACCCCACGCAGCCGACATAGCAACTGCCGTGTATGCAATTCTCAGGCTATGTAAGGTCGTCTCTTATCTGTCGCACTGAACACAACCACTGACGTCCAGACTGAGGGGTCGCTCTGAGGTTCGGCCTGCAGGGGGCGCTCCGGTGCCGCACTCCGCCTGCAGAGGTCTGGCTGGGACGCAAACGGAGCGCGGTAATGAGTTCCAGGCGGTCGGTCGCAGGAGGGCGGCGAGGCTGCTGTGATGGAAGGGAGGCTGCTGCCATGGATGACACATGGATATGGATGAGTTTTGGGTAAGAAAAACAGTTACCAATTCTTCATGACATCAGAATTGTCATAATTCTCTTCATCTGGAAGTGGCGCGGCGGCCCGAGAGAGAGAACGCGCTGTTCGTAACGCAGCGCTGAGGTGGATTAACCCTCTAATACCTGGTCTGAGCATGGAATGACTGGGGAGTATATTTACCGGCGCTCAGCTGACTTCCTGTCTGGTTATCCCATCAAAGACTAATGACAACTGTCACTTTAAACAAATGGACGCCTCGGCTATGGAGAGAGCCAATGAGAGTTATTAAAGTGGACCTGTCACCCCTACATGACCATAGCTGGCCCAGCAGTGACTGGAGTAAAGGACGGACTGACAGGCGCCATGACAGCCGGGTCATAAACCTCCCTCTGTTAGGAGATTACCTGCAGAAATCCACCCCGATGTTCTTTATGATCACTGTCATGGCGTACGTGTACCCCTCTCTGAGCGTCCCAAACTGCGCCACCGCCGGGGTGAGGTGGAATCCTCGTGGAATGCTGTTTGCGGGAGGCGTGGTGGAGGAGGTGCTCACCCTGCGTCTGACCGGATCTTCCACCGCCGCAAACTGGAGGAGACACAGGAAATTAACAGGGAGACCCCCAACTTCTTCCTGTATTAACAACCACATGAGCTTACACTCTAATGTCCCCTCCCCCCCACAGTCACATCAGTCTCTGTACAGAGGAACTTACACTCTAATGTCCCCTCCCCCCACAGTCACATCAGTCTCTGTACAGAGGAACTTACACTCTAATGTCCCCTCCCCCCACAGTCACATCAGTCTCTGTACAGAGGAACTTACACTCTAATGTCCCCTCCCCCCACAGTCACATCAGTCTCTGTACAGAGGAACTTACACTCTAATGTCCCCTCCCCCCACAGTCACATCAGTCTCTGTACAGAGGAACTTACACTCTAATGTCCCCTCCCCCCACAGTCACATCAGTCTCTGTACAGAGGAACTTACACTCTAATGTCCCCTCCCCCCACAGTCACATCAGTCTCTGTACAGAGGAACTTACACTCTAATGTCCCCTCCCCCCACAGTCACATCAGTCTCTGTACAGAGGAACTTACACTCTAATGTCCCCTCCCCCCACAGTCACATCAGTCTCTGTACAGAGGAACTTACACTCTAATGTCCCCTCCCCCCACAGTCACATCAGTCTCTGTACAGAGGAACTTACACTCTAATGTCCCCTCCCCCCACAGTCACATCAGTCTCTGTACAGAGGAACTTACACTCTAATGTCCCCTCCCCCCACAGTCACATCAGTCTCTGTACAGAGGAACTTACACTCTAATGTCCCCTCCCCCCACAGTCACATCAGTCTCTGTACAGAGGAACTTACACTCTAATGTCCCCTCCCCCCACAGTCACATCAGTCTCTGTACAGAGGAACTTACACTCTAATGTCCCCTCCCCCCACAGTCACATCAGTCTCTGTACAGAGGAACTTACACTCTAATGTCCCCTCCCCCCACAGTCACATCAGTCTCTGTACAGAGGAACTTACACTCTAATGTCCCCTCCCCCCACAGTCACATCAGTCTCTGTACAGAGGAACTTACACTCTAATGTCCCCTCCCCCCACAGTCACATCAGTCTCTGTACAGAGGAACTTACACTCTAATGTCCCCTCCCCCCACAGTCACATCAGTCTCTGTACAGAGGAACTTACACTCTAATGTCCCCTCCCCCCACAGTCACATCCATTATTATACATTTATATAGCTCTGACATATACCGCAGTGCTGTACAAAGAACTCAGTATGGTATTGGTGATGGGAGGAACTGAAACACCTGGAGGAATCCCACACACACAAGCAGAACATACAAACTCCATGCAGGCAGCATCTCTGGTCAACATTAAACCTAGGAGCCCGGTGCTGCCAGTAATTGTGGCCCTCAGAATACTCCTATAGAGATGTATACGGGCTCCGCAGTAGCGCGGTCTGTCACAGTCTACCTCACCTTGGTATTTGGCACAGATGCCGGCTTCCCGCTGAGGATGGACATGGGCAGCTTCACCTTCTCCCTCCGCGGCCTCCCCGTCACATCTACGGTCAAGCTGCGGCTGAGTCGGTGACGCGTCTGTGCCGGAATCATATCTGGCCAGAAAAAGTTTTCCCCGTCTACAGGAGAAAGTGTTGGGTTTGGTTAAAGTGGACATTCCCTTTAAATTCATAATCAATATGCAAATGCAAAATGTCCATTGCAATATGGAACAGCAAATACGTAACGGTGTGATGGATGAGAAAATGCCGGAAGGGGGGAGGGGAAGGCAAAATATAAATCAGAATAAAGTTCGGTTGGGGGGCTCTGATATGGGGGCGGCTCTGATATGTGGGGGGCTCTGATATGTGGGGGGGCTCTGATATGTGGGGGGCTCTGATATTAGATTCACCTGTCTCCGGATCTGATGACATGCTCATCCTTCCAGGAGCCGGCATGGGTTGTTCCGCGTCCCCCAAGTCCTCTGGTCTTTCCTCCGCGTCCAGTTTACGTTCTGGAGAATGTGAACATTCATTATAAATATATATAAATGTCCTCCTGGAAAAGGAATCCCCGACTCCACCAATCAGCTCCATCCTGCCGCCCCGGGATCCCTCCGGACAAGGAATACAGCAGGGCTGTGCTGGGATTGGTGGGTTCGTATTGACTCATCTATAGGAGCAGAGTGTTACCACACAGGAACTGCGAGCGTCCCCCCAAAAATGTGCTGAGGCGTGATCCCCGTCATGTGAGCGTCCTCTCCGGTGTCCCCCCAAAAATGTGGTGAGGCGTGATCACCGTCATGTGAGCGTCCTCTGCGGTGTCCCCCCAAAAATGTGCTGAGACGTGATCACCGCCATGTGAGCGTCCTCTGCGGTGTCCCCCCAAAAATGTGCTGAGACGTGATCACCGCCATGTGAGCGTCCTCTGCGGTGTCCCCCCAAAAATGTGCTGAGACGTGATCACCGCCATGTGAGCATCCTCTCCGGCGTCCCCCCATAAATATGCTGAGACGTGGTCCCCGTCATGTGAGCGTCCTCTCCGGTGTCCCCCCAAAAATGTGCTGAGGCGTGATCACCGTCATGTGAGCGTCCTCTCCGGTGTCCCCCCAAAAAATATGCTGAGGCGTGATCACCGTCATGTGAGCGTCCTCTCCGGTGTCCCCCAAAAAATGTGCTGAGACGTGGTCCCGGTCATGTGAGCGTCCTCTCCGGTGTTCCCCCAAAAATATGCTGAGACGTGGTCCCCGTCATGTGAGCGTGATCTGCGGTGTCCCCCCAAAAATATGCTGAGACGTGGTCCCCGTCATGTGAGCGTGATCTGCAGTGTCCCCCCAAAAATGTGCTGAGGCGTGATCACCGTCATGTGAGCATCCTCTCCGGTGTCCCCCCAAAAATGTGCTGAGGCGTGGTCCCCGTCATGTGAGCGCCCTCTCCTGTGTCCCCCCAAAAATGTGCTGAGGCGTGGTCCCCGTCATGTGAGCGTCCTCTTCGGTGTTCCCCCAAAAATATGCTGAGCCGTGGTCCCCGTCATGTGAGCGTCCTCTCCGGTGTTCCCCCAAAAATATGCTGAGACGTGGTCCCCGTCATGTGAGCGTGATCTGCGGTGTCCCCCCAAAAATATGCTGAGACATGGTCCCCGTCATGTGAGCGTCCTTTCCGGCGTCCCCCCAAAAATGTGCTGAGACGTGATCACCGCCATGTGAGCGTCCTCTGCGGTGTCCCCCCAAAAATGTGCTGAGACGTGATCACCGCCATGTGAGCATCCTCTCCGGCGTCCCCCCATAAATATGCTGAGACGTGGTCCCCGTCATGTGAGTGTCCTCTCCGGTGTCCCCCCAAAAATGTGCTGAGACGTGATCACCGCCATGTGAGCATCCTCTCCGGCGTCCCCCCATAAATATGCTGAGACGTGATCACCGCCATGTGAGCGTCCTCTGCGGTGTCCCCCCAAAAATGTGCTGAGGCGTGATCACAGTCATGTGAGCGTGATCTGCAGTGTCCCCCCAAAAATGTGCTGAGACGTGGTCCCCGTCATGTGAGCGTGATCTGCGGTGTCCCCCCAAAAATATGCTGAGACGTGGTCCCCGTCATGTGAGCGTCCTTTCCGGCGTCCCCCCAAAAATGTGCTGAGACGTGATCACCGCCATGTGAGCGTCCTCTGCGGTGTCCCCCCAAAAATGTGCTGAGACGTGATCACCGCCATGTGAGCATCCTCTCCGGCGTCCCCCCATAAATATGCTGAGACGTGGTCCCCGTCATGTGAGCGTCCTCTCCGGTGTCCCCCCAAAAATGTGCTGAGGCGTGATCACCGTCATGTGAGCGTCCTCTCCGGTGTCCCCCCAAAAAATATGCTGAGGCGTGATCACCGTCATGTGAGCGTCCTCTCCGGTGTCCCCCAAAAAATGTGCTGAGACGTGGTCCCGGTCATGTGAGCGTCCTCTCCGGTGTTCCCCCAAAAATATGCTGAGACGTAGTCCCCGTCATGTGAGCGTGATCTGCGGTGTCCCCCCAAAAATATGCTGAGACGTGGTCCCCGTCATGTGAGCGTGATCTGCAGTGTCCCCCCAAAAATGTGCTGAGGCGTGATCACCGTCATGTGAGCATCCTCTCCGGTGTCCCCCCAAAAATGTGCTGAGGCGTGGTCCCCGTCATGTGAGCGCCCTCTCCTGTGTCCCCCCAAAAATGTGCTGAGGCGTGGTCCCCGTCATGTGAGCGTCCTCTTCGGTGTTCCCCCAAAAATATGCTGAGACGTGGTCCCCGTCATGTGAGCGTCCTCTCCGGTGTTCCCCCAAAAATATGCTGAGACGTGGTCCCCGTCATGTGAGCGTGATCTGCGGTGTCCCCCCAAAAATATGCTGAGACATGGTCCCCGTCATGTGAGCGTCCTTTCCGGCGTCCCCCCAAAAATATGCTGAGACGTGGTCCCCGTCATGTGAGCGTGATCTGCAGTGTCCCCCCAAAAATGTGCTGAGACCTGATCACCGTCATGTGAGCGTCCTCTCCGGTGCCCCCCCAAAAATGTGCTGAGACGTGGTCCCCGTCATGTGAGCGTCCTCTCCGGTGCCCCCCCCAAAAATGTGCTGAGGCGTGGTCCCCGTCATGTGAGCGTCCTCTCCGGCGTCTCCCCAAAAATGTGCTGAGGCGTGATCACCGTCATGTGAGCGTCCTCTACGGTGTCCCCCCAAAAATGTGCTGAGGCGTGGTCCCGGTCATGTGATCGTCCTCTCCGGTGTCCCCCCAAAAATGTGCTGAGACGTGATCACCGTCATGTGAGCGTCCTCTCCGGTGTCCCCCCAAAAATGTGCTGGCCGCCGGTAGCGTTAATCAGATGACTGTGCATGCGCGATGATGTCGCGGCGGAGCGTCACCCGGCCTTGGGATGCCAGTCAGGAGATGGGCTCCTATCAATCAATGGAACAATTTGGCGGTCACACACCTGACTCCTCCTCTTCGACGCTGAGTGCCAGCTCCTCCTCTTCCTCTGTCTTGTCCTCTTCATCCCAGGCAGCAAAAGACGGGGGCACCTGCTTGGACAGGGCGTCCATGTCTGGAGCCTGAGGACACGAGAGGCGGGGGTTATATACAAGTAACTGGGGACAGAAGAGCAGAATTACCAACATTATGGTTCCAGATACCAGGACCAGTGATGGGCCCAACACCGAAAAGTTTGAACTCGAACTCAATGCAAGTCTATGGGGATAGAACATTGAAAATCAATTGTCTTCTTTGAGAGGGCTTATATATGGGGACATGTATGGGGGTCCGGGTACTGCCCTGGGGGACATGTATGGGGATCCGGGTACTGCCCGGGGGGACATGTATGGGGATCCGGGTACTGCCCGGGGGGACATGTATGGGGATCCGGGTACTGCCCGGGGGGACATGTATGGGGATCCGGGTACTGCCCGGGGGGACATGTATGGGGATCCGGGTACTGCCCGGGGGGACATGTATGGGGATCCGGGTACTGCCCGGGGGGACATGTATGGGGATCCGGGTACTGCCCGGGGGGACATGTATGGGGATCCGGGTACTGCCCGGGGGGACATGTATGGGGATCCGGGTACTGCCCGGGGGGACATGTATGGGGATCCGGGTACTGCCCGGGGGGACATGTATGGGGATCCGGGTACTGCCCGGGGGGACATGTATGGGGATCCGGGTACTGCCCGGGGGGACATGTATGGGGATCCGGGTACTGCCCGGGGGGACATGTATGGGGATCCGGGTACTGCCCGGGGGGACATGTATGGGGATCCGGGTACTGCCCGGGGGGACATGTATGGGGATCCGGGTACTGCCCGGGGGGACATGTATGGGGATCCGGGTACTGCCCGGGGGGACATGTATGGGGATCCGGGTACTGCCCGGGGGGACATGTATGGGGATCCGGGTACTGCCCGGGGGGACATGTATGGGGATCCGGGTACTGCCCGGGGGGACATGTATGGGGATCCGGGTACTGCCCGGGGGGACATGTATGGGGATCCGGGTACTGCCCGGGGGGACATGTATGGGGATCCGGGTACTGCCCGGGGGGACATGTATGGGGATCCGGGTACTGCCCGGGGGGACATGTATGGGGATCCGGGTACTGCCCGGGGGGACATGTATGGGGATCCGGGTACTGCCCGGGGGGACATGTATGGGGATCCGGGTACTGCCCGGGGGGACATGTATGGGGATCCGGGTACTGCCCGGGGGGACATGTATGGGGATCCGGGTACTGCCCGGGGGGACATGTATGGGGATCCGGGTACTGCCCGGGGGGACATGTATGGGGATCCGGGTACTGCCCGGGGGGACATGTATGGGGATCCGGGTACTGCCCGGGGGGACATGTATGGGGATCCGGGTACTGCCCGGGGGGACATGTATGGGGATCCGGGTACTGCCCGGGGGGACATGTATGGGGATCCGGGTACTGCCCGGGGGGACATGTATGGGGATCCGGGTACTGCCCGGGGGGACATGTATGGGGATCCGGGTACTGCCCTGAGGGACATGTAAAAGGGTACCCAGATGTGGCCCCCCTACCTTGTGAATGAGTAAGGGGTACTTGTACTCCTACACTTTCACTAAAGGGTTAAATTAAATTGTAAAAAAGAGGCCAGACTTATGAAAAAATCCTTTAATTTAAATAAAAAAAACAAAAATGGATCCACCGGTGTAATCCAGGGTCAATCACGATGTCCAGCATTGTCCGCGATGACGACTCGACGAAATAAAAAAAGAAATAGAAATAATTTAAAAAAAGAAAACCCGCCGCCCGCGGAACCTGTCCGCTCTCGACGAACTCCCACTGCAGAATGGCATTCTGACAGATGCCGGCAAAACATAAACAATTGGGCGGAGCTAGCTGTGACAGCAAGCTCCACCCAACTGTTTACAGTTGTACGGCATCTGGCAGGTGAGCCCTGATTGGGCAGAGTCATCATGACTTTGCCCAATCATGGCTCTTACAGAGTACTGTGCCCTGAATGGGCAAAGTCTTGCACCTGACCCGTGGTCAGGTGCAAGGCTTTGGCCAAACAGGACTCACAAGCACTGCCGATGTTCGAGTTGAACTCATGCTCGCCTCCAACATCGAGCCCGTCCCTAACCAGGTCACTGTTAGTCCCGCCCAAGTTTCACATTTCGGTCACCCGCTGTCCAGGTCGGCGAGCCCAAATCCAGTCTATTATATGCGTTTGTCCCAAATAAGACTGAAAATAATTGTAATGAGCGTCACATTATACAAAGTATCATTTTCAGTGTATCATTCGCCGTCACCATCGTCGGGGTATATCAGTGATAGGATGGCTCCATGGAGGTCGGACCTCACCTGGTTCAGGAAGAACTGCTGAGCCATGTCAGACATGAAGTATGGAGGGATGTCTCTGCTCCTCATACAGGCCAGGTTATCCTTCTGCTCCTGGATCTCCAGCCTGAAGAAGATACAATATAACCAGAGTTCAGTCTCTCCATTTCCTGGCTCTCCGCAGAAATCAGAGACCCCCCCCCCCAATATCTCAGCAATCATCAAAGCCCATCCTCCCCAACAGGGGCATGACTTTCCCTCACAGCAAACCTCTTATGTAGCAGAATATAATAAGGTTCCTTATTATTGTTAGAGATTTTATGATGATTATGAGGACAGGGGACCAAATCCATGGATTACATTACAGGTGGAATGATCAGCCTTGAGCCTTCGCCACCTGCTGGACGATACATAGCACTGCAGCTTGTGTCTCTGCTATGCACACCTTCCCTGATCAGTAGAGGTGCACCGATGCCGGGTTTTCAGTATCGAGTACAAGTACCGATATTTATATTTCGGTACACACCGATACCGAGTACCGATACTTCCCGTAGCATAGAGTAAGCTTCCTGGGCAATCAGGAAGCCAGGCGGCGTGACATTACCCACCGCCCGGATTCTTGATTGCCCGGGAAGCCGACTCCGTTCTGTTTGGCCGGCTCGATGCCGATTGGCCGGGAAGCCGGCTTGGCCCATCCAGTCGGCATCGAGGCCGGCCAAACAGATCTGACAATATGGTGACACGACCCCCCACCCTGCAGGCACCTCATTCCCCTCACATCGATCCTTAGCAGCCGCCATTACCGTAGCGGTCCCACGGCCAGCTGGGCAGACGCCGCTCTCCAAGCCCTCCGGGATCTGCCCTCGTCTCCTGTGTGTACAGCGCCCATGTGATCGTCCCTCAGCCTGCTACTGCGCATGCGCAGACTGCCCAGCACACTCATTCAGAAATCCTGTGCATGCGCAGTAGCAGGCTGAGAGCCGATCGCGTGGGCGCTGTACACACAGGGGACGTGGGCAGATCACGGAGGGCTTGGAGAGCGGCATCTGTACGGTAATGACGGCTGCTAAGGATCTATGCGAGGGGAATGATTTGTCCGCAGAGTGGGGGGACGTGTCGCCACATTATCAGATTAGTTTGCCTGGCTCGACACTGATTGGCTGGGAAGCCAGCTTCCTGGCCAATTAGCATCGAGCCGGCCAAACAGCATGGAGCCAGCTTCCCGGCCAATTAGCATCGAGCCGGCCAAACAGCATGGAGCCAGCTTCCCGGCTCCATGTTCCCTCGTGGCACTGCCGGTCAGAGGAAATCTCCCTCTCTGACCCGACGTTCCAGTATCGGGAAAGGTATCGGAGCATTTGGGTGAGTACGAGTACTCGCCCAAATACTCAGTATCGGCACCGATACTAGTATCGGTATCGGTGCATCCCTACTAAATAGACTGCTGGACATCGGATATTTGGAAGTGGAAAGAAAGTGCCGGATCCGTGTGGTAATTCTGCTGGTGCTTCCCATCCTTCAGTGGTAAAGTGATGTGGATACGGGTGATCTGGCAGCTTCCACAAGCCGAAGGATCTTCATGGTAACTTGGCGGTGCACACCGTAGATGTAGGAATTTAAGCGCCGCACCAATAAAATAGCCCATAAGAGCAGCAAAGAGAAGGGAAACTACCATGGATTACAGTAAGGCGCACATTACAGTATTGTTTTATGTTAAAAAATCTGAGGGTTTAATGTCACTTTAATGACAGAAATCATGTATGTGGACTACAACCCCCTGCAGCTTGAACGTTGTATCAGGTTGGGATGGGAGGACTTCAGGCTGGTCAGCAGCTGGTTTGGCAGCACCCACAAAACTGGGTATTTTAGGCAAATAGTATACAAATCAGTACGCAAGGAATATAACATAATAGAAAAGCCAGGGGGGGGGGGGAAATCCATGGTTTACATTACAGGTGTAATGATCAGCCATGAGCCATCGCCACCTGCTGGCCAATACACAGCACTGCAGCTTGTGTCTCTGCTGTGCACACCTACCCTAATCGGTAAAGGCTAAATAGACTGCTGGACATTCAGTCAGTGCCTAATCCTCAGGTCATTCTGCCTGCTCCTGCCCGGGATCTGTTGGTCCATGCCTCGGATTATTCCTGCGGAATGCAGCTTCCATGCAGGAAGTCAGCCCCATATCCCACACACAGAAGCGGTTTGATACTGCTGATCGTGTCTTGGTGGATGAGTCTGGCAGCAGCATTCATGATAGGCTGAGAAGGTGGACACCCTGTGCGGAGGTGGTCCGGCGGGGAGGAAGTTGCAATGCTCCAGGCTGATACGATATGATGTGACTTCTCTGAGTTTGTGACCAGCCAGATGGAGACCACGTGTGTCCATTATATAAACCGGCGAAGAGAGGGATGATGGGGCACAGATGTGCACAGCTCCAGGGAGAGTACACAGTGCACAGACCTCATTATTGTGGTGTCATGGACCCTGTAATTAGCTCAGTCTGTGTCAGGAATGTCTGTCCTTCTGTACGGACAACACAGGACAATCACTGAATGCGTATCTGACTGCACTCCGGGGATATATCTTCTATGTGCGCTGTGTATTGGCTGCACCAGATGGTGATCACTGTCATTATAAAGTACAAAGCAAAGCTACAGAAAAATCCATCCCCTTCCGTTCTGTACTCTTAAAGCTGAACTCCAGGACACGCAGGCCCATAACTGCCTTTGGTTTATTAAAGGATGGTGCCACGTATGTCCAGGCATCATCCAAGGGTCACCATATCCTTCCTGGACTGTGATGCCGGCTCAGAGATGACCCAATCGTGTCAATTCTGGTGACTGTGTAGTTCTCGGCTGTGTTTACAAATGTCTGACACAGATCAGACCCTGATGCACCCTTTCACCTTGTGACTGGATACAATGTTGAAGTCTGATTAGGGGGGGAGGGGAGATTGAGGAAATGCTTCCTCCTGCCTGCAGTAGGCTGATGGCATCATCTCAGCCTAGGCAAAGTCACTGACCGGAGCTCAAGGATGGCTTTTTAGTGATATAAATTGGAGGCTTTCAGAAACATTATAAAGGGTTATTCACAAAGCTAGCCGAAGGATCAGCCGCAGCTCCGGCCGCCGGAGCCCCTCGGTTCAGTACAACCAAAGAGCTGCCACTATAGCCCGTACAGCTCCCGAAGCTGACCGAGGTGTTCAGTACAACCAAAGAGCTGCCACTATAGCCCGTACAGCTCCCGAAGCTGGCCGAGGGGCTCAGCCCAGCCGAAGGCATATGCTTCGGTTCGACTGAGCTGAAGTGAAACCCGAAGTGGGGCGAATGTGCTGACCATTGGCCGGCCGAAAGCCTCACAACTGACAGATGGGCGGAGCCAGCCGTGATCTCACGGCTGGCTCCGCCCAGTTGCAATGACAGATCAGCGTCCCCAGGTTAGCTGGAGGCGCTGAACTGTCATTAAACAATGACAACTTGACGGAGCCGGCAGTGACGTCACGGCCGGCTCCGCCCCAGTTGTTATTCATTGGCTGGGAAGACTCTAGCAGGTCTTGGCCAATAGGAAACAGTTGGGAGGAGCTAGCTGTTACTGCTAGTTCCGCCCAGTTGTTTCTTTTTTTTTTAAATAATCTTTCATTTTTTTTTCTTTTTTTTGTGTGAAATCTTTATTGATTTTGTACAATTTATAATTTATTTACATTTGTAAACATTTTTTTTCTACTTTTTTCCCCCAACCTTTTTTCACTGTTTTTCTATTCTGCTCGGTACCACGGAGGTACTGAGCAGAATAGCCGAGCTGAATGCCGCTCGGCAGCATTTGGCTATTCACTCGCTGCCGTTCGGCTAGGGTTGCCACCTTTTCTTCAAGTGAAACCCAAACATTCTAGACATTTTTTTGGGAGAATGAGTCGCGACTTATTCATATGTAAATATCATAGTCGAGACTATTTTCAGTGGGGGGGCCAGTAGCCCCTATCCTAATTTTGGTTGCCCCTGTCTGCCTGACATCTTGTGTCCGGGTTTCTGCTGCAATGAAACCCGGACGCAGCATTCAAAACCCAGACTGTCCGGGTGAATCCTGGACAGGTGGCAACCCTACGTTCGGCCCCTAGGAGAATAGGGACGAACGGCAGCGAGTAGCTTGCCGGAGGTTCGGCACAGCCGATCCAGATGTTGGATCGGCTCAGGCGAACGAACCAACGCCAGCCGAAGGGAGCCGATGTACGGCTGAAATCAGCTGTGCAAGTCTGAAGTGAATAGCCGGGCGGCGTTCGGCTCACTTCACTTCGGGTGGGTTATTCGCTCGGCTGCCTTCCGCAGCTTTGTGAATAACCCCTATAGTGTTGCTGTATATTGTGACATGTCCGGTTTTTACACTTCCTGTCGGGTCCATCAAAAACAATTCAGTTAAAGGAGAACTATGGGGTCAGGGCTTTTCCCCATAGTTCTCCTTAGGGTAACGGGAGGACACAAACTAGCGTCCTCCCGTCACCCTAAGCTGAGACGCCGCAGCTGAAGCGGATCCCGACAATTGTGCCGGGATCCGCCCAGCTGCTTGAGTGACAGCTGGCTCTGCCTATCTAGAGGCAGAGCCAGCTGTACCCGCCCCCTCCCCCGTCCTTTCCGCCAGTCAGCGCTGGAGGATCGGAGCGGGGAGGGGGGAATCCAGCCCCTCCCCTGTCACGGCAGAGAGCCGTGACAGGATCGAGAGGTGAGCGAACGCCGGTATGTGTTCGCTCACCTCCCGATCTACTGAGCCGACCTGTGACAGTCTTATTGTCACAGGTCGGCTAGAACTATGAGGTGAGTGAAAAGCCCCCCCCCCTCCCATAGTTCTCCTTTAATACAAAAAAAACACATCACTGTAATCTGCTCAATCTGCTCTGCTTATTACAGTAAAGAGGCGTTTCCATAACTGTTACCTGAGTTGATCCCAGTCCTCTAAGCTCCGCTCTGGTTTGGCCATCACTGGGGGTGGAGGTGGTGGTGGGGGCACGGCATTCTCATACAGACTGGCAATATCTTCTGGAAATAAAAGATTTGAGTATTTTAAACTTCTATGGGGTCACATTACCAGTTATTATGCCAAAGAACTTTCAGAGGCTCATGGTGGCAAACACTCAAGACAAGGGATATCTCAAGAGTCCCTCGATCCCTTCTGAGTCTCATCGGGGGGTCCTGAGAGCTCAGAGTAAGTTAGTATAGGAACGTCACCAGCACACCAACACGACAGAGACTTAAATGTCAGTGAAAATCCATTTATCGATGTCAGTCAATACTCAGAGTGTCATCAAGCGCTTTCGGGGACGTGCAGGGTCCCCTTCATCAGGCTCAGAGTATACAATGTATATAATTCATGTATACTCTGAGCCTGATGAAGGGGACCCTGCGCGTCCCCGAAAGCGCTTGATGACACTCTGAGTATTGACTGACATCAATAAATGGATTTTCACTGACATTTAAGTCTCTGTCGTGTTGGTGTGCTGGTGACGTTCCTATACTTACCTATGCTGAGTGCGGCGCCATCCGCGGTCACTGCGAGCACCCTCAACTAACACTTGGGAGTTCCGGTAAGGAGTGCTGCAGGTCCTTGGACTCTGAGAGCTCAGAGCACCCCAATTGTCAGAAATTTCGGTATGAACTAGAGCTTTCCTCTAACTCCAAATCATAGAGTGATATCAAGAGCAAGTGAACCATTATCTCACCGTGAATGTGCTCCGGGGTGGGAGTTGGTGGTGATTCCCGGGACTCGGTCAGTGACTGTCCAATAGAAGAGAAGGAATAACATTAAAGGTCATCTAGTGAAGATTGGCCACATTTCCATCCCCTGGTGACCATTCCACATGACTCATCTCCTCCATCATATCTGCCCGTACTAGTCTCTGACCCACCACAAGGTACAACTCTTTACCAATCAAGACCAACTATCTTGTGTCCCTTTTCTGACCACACCTGAAAGGCAGCAGACAGACAATGCTCTTTGTTCATGAACAATCACCCAATGGGATCCTATCAGTATCACAGAAATCAGGAAGACTGAAGTCCATGTGTGTTTCTTCTGAGATATGGACCTGCTATGAGCCAACCACAAGCCATCTATTCCTTCAAGCAATGCGGTGATCACTACCACGTCTTCCTTCATATGTCCATTTTACACCATTAGTAAGTGCCACTCTTACCCAATCATAACCTGGTACCAGGACCAGCACAAGGTAATGGTGACCACCTCCTGCCACTTCTTTCTCAATTTGCCTCTCCTGCACCATTCCTACCTTCCTACACCCCTTTTTATCCCCAGTGCCTATAACCACTCTCCACCCCTCACCCAATTCCAGCCAGGAACCAGGACCAGCATAAGGTAATTGTGACTTCGTCTTACCCCCTTTTTCTCAATCTGACTCCCTTGCAGCACCGTTCTAAATGCATCCCTGCTCCTCACCTCTCTCCACCCCTTATTCAATCCTAGCCTGGCATGAGGCTAAATGTGACCTTTTCTCACTAGTTCCTTCTCAGATTGACTCTCCTGCACCACCTCTAACTTCATGACTCTCTTCTCCATCCGATGTCCCATGTTTCCTCTTCACCACTCACCCAATTCCAGCCTTCATAGCTAGCTAGCTTCATAGCTCCATCTCTAGCCTTCATAGCTTCTTCACAATTTGCCTCTAATGCACCACGCGTTCATTCATACACCACTTTTTTCACTCCAGTGCAACACTTTCCACCCCTCATTCAATCCATACCAGGACCAGCACAAGGTAACAGTGACCTCCTCTCACTACCTCCTTCTCACTTTGCCTCTCCTCCAGCACCTCCTCCTTCATACACCCCTTCTCTACTTCAGTGACCATCACCCATCTCTACCCCTTATCCAACCCCAGCCTGACGCCAGGACCAGCACAGAGCGATGAACTCCTCTCACTACCTCTTCTCAGTTTGCCTCTCCTGCACCACTCTTTATATATCCCTTCTCCACCCAAGTGCCCATCACCTCTTTGCACCCCTTACCAAGACCAGCATGAGAAGATCAGCTGCGTTGCCTTTCTCCTCTTCTGTCCTGGGCTCCTTGATGTTCATTTCTTGTAACTCCTCTTCCTTCTTCAGAACTTTATCGATGTATCGCTGAAGACAAAACAAACCAGAGAGTTGTCTATATTGTGCAAGTGCTGCCCTCTTTATGTGGCTGACAGAGGCTGTAGGGTGGACAGTTACCCCCCCCCCCCGCCCC